GCTCCCCCCCAGCCTCTCCTCTACCAGCCTCGTGGCAGAGAGACACCATTTCACAGCACCGTCAGTTGACATCTTGCCCCATTGCAGGTGTACCTTCAGGGCATCCTTTGGGGACATTAGATTCAGGGGCATCTTCTCCTTCCTTGCAGGAATGACAAACCAAGAAACCGTACGGCAAATCACCAGGGGCTACCGCCTTCCTCGGCCCAGCTCCTGCCCTCCTGAGATCTACAGCATCATGCTGGAATGCTGGAGCGGCAACACAGAGGAGCGTCCTACCTTCCTGGCCCTGCGGGAGAAGCTGGGCTTCATCTACAGATGGCTGCTCAGCTCTCTCTCCTGAGGGACCCCTTCCCACCATCCTTCCTGCACAAGCCCCTCCAGGCCAGCTCTTGCCAAGAAGCTCCTTCCTTCTGGTTTGCCCTCTGACAGGGCTCCAAGGAAAGCACATCCCCCCAAAAAACAGCCCACGGTCCCTCTCGGTCAGGATGCAGGGAGGTGGCCAAGGGAAAAGGCAAGAACTTGTTGCCCCACGGTAGTGAAGGCATCGCCCAGAGTTTACATCCTCATCAGGCAGTAGGGTGGGAGGTCCCTGCCGCTCCCCACGCCGATGTGAAAGCTTGCAGTTTGTGTTCAGTTCTGGCTCCGCTTGATTTTTCTTGTAGTGTGTGTCTAGTGTATTTATCAATAAATGTGTGTGCATCCACCCACATCAGTCCTTGCAGGGCGTCGCTGGATGCTCTGCCCTCGCCATGCTGCTCCCTTCCCTGCCCAGGAAGCAATGGTTTGCAACCAGTCCTGCTCTGCAACCACAGATACAACCATCTTCGTGTCTCTTTGGCTTCTGTTCATCCAGGTGCCCATTAAATCTTTGTGTGTGTCTGTCACCCCTTTCCCAGTCAGCAGCCCCGCTTGCCCCGAGGACCCTGCACAGGCAGCTCCTGCTTGGGCTGCTCCGCTCTGGCTCCCTGTCTCACCCACCATCCTCTGGTTATTCCCAGAAAAATGTATGTCTGGCTTCAAAGATTGAACACCTTCTTAGCCCAGATGCAGGCAGCAGAGGCAGCACTCAGTAAAACACTGCTTCACCATGTTCTGCTCTTGATCACAGCCACGGTGCAAAGCCAAGAGATGCTCCCACCACCCCCAGATCCTCACCAGTCCCAGGGTACAGCATTACGGGAGGACCTCGGGCCCCTTGTGTCCCCCCAGCCTGGGGGGAGCGTTTCTTCTGGCCAAGTACCTTTTGCCCCCCCTGTCTGTGCACACTCTGGGAGGCCGGGCTGTCCTTGGCAGCGGTGGAAGGACTCACTGAAAAGCAGCCCCGAATCCTGAGGCTGGTGCAGGCAGCATCCCCAGGGCTGGCCCGAGCAGGGCTGCTTGAGCACTGACGCACTCGGGGCACTGGTGGCTTTGGGTGAAGGGCAGCTGCGCACAGCCGGGGCTGCCTGCGTTCAGATTTGCCCCCCTGACAAGCCCGTTTCACCTGTTTGCAGGAGAGGTGGTGACCGGTAGGACTGAAACAACAGCGGGGCTGGAATATAGAAAGTTAATAAAGTTTATGCAATACTCTCCAAGCCTCTGCAGCATCCATGCTGTGCAAAACAGCAGAACACGCCTGGGTGTTAATTGAGCAAGTCTCTGTGCGTGAGGGGCCTGGAAAGGGGAGGTGGGAATGTGGTTTAAGATAAATTCTGATCCGGCCACGCTGCCTCTGAAGTCCAAGGAAGGGCGAGGTGGTTGCTGAGCCCTCCGGAGCTGCGGCCGTGCCCCGGGAAGGGTGTTCGCAGCTGGGAAAAGCAACAGGTTGGGTTTGCCGTGGTCTTTGGACACGGTTGCAAGAAGAAACCCACATCTTACAAAAGTTATTTTGCCTCTTGATCAAACACCCAAACAGAGGTAGGCACAGCCCAGGTCCCCTCCTACAAGAAACTAAAGCCCGAAGCCGTGTCCGGCAGGTGATGGGTTCATTGCACGCCAAGGGCGGGCAGGGACACGCGTGGCACAGGGCTGCTGCAGCAATAAAGAGATTAAATTTACAGGGCTGGCTGCCACTGGATGGAGCTAAAAAATTAAGCAGGAGGAGAAGGATGTGCGTGGGGGTGATGGGGCGGGGGGCTGGCGTGGGGAGCAGCTGTGCATGGGTGGGGTGCATGGTGGCATGGATGGTGGCA